TTTACAATGGGTATAACTATAGTCCTTAAGAAATTATCAGGTAAATAGCCATGGTCAACACATGCATTAAACAATTCTGAGATTCTAATATATACCGATTCTGGAGCATATAGTAAGTGCTCGACACTGAGTCCGTCGTGGCCCGGCGACTTACCGCGCTTCATACTTTTCACACAGTCAAACAGCTGTTGCGTGCTGACGTGCAACACACTAGTATCACATGAAGGCGGCGACGGCGTCTCCGGCCCACCACGGGCCTCATGGGCCACACTCTTACTTGCAGGTGTTGTGTGCAGTAGGGGTGCTGGATTAAACTGTTTGACAAACATATTGGCAATCATACTCGGGTCATTACAGCCATTTACATTAACCGGTACACTAGCTTTATAGTTTAATTTATTTGTTTCCCTCCAAAATTTTCCGAACTGTTTATTGCATCTATGAGTGGCTATAATATCCATTCTTATTTTATTTGCATTTGACTGACACCATTTGATTTTATTTTTAAACACTTTTTTGCTACGAACCATATCATCATATATTTTACCTTGACAAGGGCGTCCATGAAAGTTCCATAATTTATAGCTCTGCCGAGCCTCCAAATGACTTTCCTTTACATGATAGTTCCAACCAGTGACTGTTCTCTTTTTCGAATACATTTTTCCCCGATACGACAATTTGGCAGCCCTAGACATCAAGTTTATAATTTGATTATAATATTCATCAATTAGATTACAATGACCAGAGTCTTTGCAAGAGGTTCCCCCCCCACAAGAAAAATTTGACCAGTTATACATTTTTTCAAATTCATTACAAAGTTTTGAATAATTACGGTTTTGTTCATAAGTTCTTTGTCCCCAGATTATCTTATTGACTAATTGTCTACAGTTTGTATTAGTTTTTGGTAACACACTATTAACATTACATTCGATCAACAATGGAAAATGATCTGAATAAAATACATCATTCAGTACACTAACATTGTCGATCATACTAAGTCCCGCGGAAGTGGTAACGCAGTGGTCAATCCAACTCGTGGTACCATGTGAATCACTCAAGTATGTGTAGGTGTTTGACAACGTACCGATCAACTCAATGTCCGCACACACCCAGTCCTGATCATTACAGTATTCAAGCAGCTCAGTTCCAAATAACGTATTAGGACGCGAAACGTCAGCATTAAAGTCACCAAGCACTAATGCACTTTCCACATCACTACTTTCAATCACTGCACTAATAACACCTAGGCATTCCGTAAACAAGGGTAAATTATCCGGATCCTGCGTCGGCATGTACACCGACACAACGATGAAACTGCGCCCGTCGCTGACCTGCACACACACAGCCGCCACGCGCGTCGAGCCAGTGTCAATAACCACCCCGTTCTTACTCCTGCACTTCGAGCCGGAGCCCCGGCAACTAGTTAAGTCTTCCGCGGCTCCGTATCGGCATAAGCCCTTGATTATTTCGGGCCTGGGAGTAATAATTACGTGCAAGCATAATGTGTATGTAAATGCTCTTGAAAAGCAAGCTGTAGACCAAAACAGCATAAAATATCCTTGATGATATTAAGTACATAATATATTTGATTTTGTTCCAGTGAGTCGTCGTTAATAAGTACAAATATTGTGATAATGTTGGGACATGTCGCTGTCGCCCTGAAGGACACTCCCAAGACCACAGATACTATTCTACAGTTCTTCCAGCAAAGGTGAGAAACCGACCACTAGATAAACATGGTATACTGAGATCTTACTTTAAACATAGAATCACTACCATTTCTGGTGTAGAAATATTAACTAAGCTAAGTCCATGCAAATCTACACATAACAATAATTTTCATTTGATACAATTATACTAATGTACATACAATGTAACACCCACTTTTCACTATTTATGAGTCCCGTGTAATAGGGGGTGAGTCTATTGCCATATACCGGGCACAATTCCAGACTCCGTGCTACTAGTGAGAATTTTTAAAGATTCCAGTAATACTTTGCCCGGCTCTTTGAATAGAACCCGAGAGCCGAAGCTGAAAGAAACATTAAATGCAAATCATCAACTAAGCATACTATTATCAGTTATTTATCAATCAGTCATTCAATCACTTATACACTATTTTTTTTTCTATATATCTTTATCTTTATCTTTAACTATTTGTTAGTCAATAAAATCATTTTATTATATAAACAAATATCCACAGATTATGCCGCGCCCCATCGTCCCTAGATACGTTAATAGTGGACCAGTTGGGCTGCATGGCGCTCGCGAGCCCTGAAGGACCGGCTCATGATGAGATCATGCGAATGTTCACTGTCATCACAGTGGAAGCCGCCAGCGCTGCATACCATCATACTGATGATAAAAAACAATACAGGTAAGGATATAAGTATATTGTTTATGAAATAGGATCACCTGATGGTAAGCAATCGGCGTCGCCCATAGGCACCTGGAACACCAGAGACGTTACAAGTGCGTTACCGGCCTTTTAAGGGTTAAGAATTTGAGGATGGTTTGGGATTCGGGGATTGAAGAGATTAGGGAGGGTAATTGGGCCTCCGGTAACCTCACTCACACGACGAAACACAACGCAAGTTGTTTCACGTCAGTTTTCTGTGAGGCCGTGGTATCACTCCGGTCGAGCCGGCCCATTCGTGCCGAAGCATGCCTCTAGACTTATATAAAATCATTAATTCTAATTCTTTTAATAACTTGTCACCAGGCACGTATCAGGCGCCGTGCTAAACGCCCTAGCGAATATAGCAGCTAACGTCCGAGGTACAACGGCTCGACTCGAACTGTTGACGAGATTGCTCGAGCTATTCGTACAGCTTGGCTTGGGCGGAGAACGAGCTACTGATCGGTCACCTGCCCCTGTGTTGAAGGCTTCGGGTAGTGCTGGGAACTTGGGTGTACTTATTCCTGTGATTGCGGTGAGTAAGATATGAGTAGCAGACTTTTACAGGATGTTAGAAGACAGAAGTTTTTGTTGTTGTTGTGATGAACACTGTATATTCATAGTCCAAGATGAATTACGCACGAATGAAAGGCTACTCATTTTAAGTCGTACTTAAATATCGTGCCATCTCTGTTATTTTACAAAGAATTGAAAGTGACAGAAGTATTTCAGCGTACGAGACGAATAAAATTAGTAAAAATGTTATATCAGAACTTAATATGTATTAAGACGCGCACACATACACACACACACACTCACACACACACACACACCACACACATACACACATGGTGAATCCATAGCGTGGCGTGAAACCAGGTCAAGTTACCTCATGGAACAGTTACTAGAGTAAATCGATAGACAAATCAATCTAACCTGTATTTTTATTTTTTTCAGGTCCTAGTAAAAAGGTTACCCCCGATAAGGAACCCGAAACCTCGTCTCCACAAACTGTTCAAAGATTTCTGGCTCTACTGCGTCGTGATGGGATTCACTGCGGCTGAATCAGGTACTTATTGTTATTATGTTAAAGTTTATTATTCTATCTATTTATTTATTCGTTATAACCTTTTCTCAACTTATCCACGATTTAAATTTTATATTGCTAAGTTTAAAATTTTAATGGTGTTGCGTGGGCGCGGATTTGTCTTAGTTTTTTTTTTTATATATTTTCTAATTAATGTTATATTGGACATATACCAAATATTGGTCAGTATGTATGTATTAGTGATATTTTTAACGCCTCTATTTGAGCCTATCCTAAATAAATTTAAATTCTATCAGTCACTTTGTCGTTATAACTTGGTAAAACAAAAAATGCGGGTTCGAAACGTACCAACGGCAAGTACCAATGTGACTTTTTCCGAGTTATATGTACTTTCTAAGATTATCTAGACACCACTGTCAAACGGTGAAGGAAAACATCGTGAGGGCTTATGATTTCTAATTATAAGTTTGTAATTGCCAACCCACATTGAGCAAGCGTGGTGATTAATGCTCAAACCTTCTCCGTGTGAGAAGAGGCTTTGCTGAGCAGTGGGCATTTATAGGCTGTTGATGATGATGATGAAACAAAAATTTAACAACAACTTTCTTATAATAAGATATAAGATCTTAATAAAAAAAGGAGTCCATCAAAGAGTTTTTACTTTCTACTTCTATTGCCATTTGCCATTGTAATTATTGTCTATATAGAAACAATACAAATCCTCACCCACGCACACAAACACATAAAACTAAAAATCTTTCCAAAAAATAGCACTTACTATTTCTATTCTCAGTCTGTGGATTGTATATATATATTATATATAATTTATATTATATAATATAATATAAAATGTTACATAATTATAGATGTATCTAAAGATTTTATCTCTTCTTCTATGGCAACGCCTGTAGCCATGCGAAAGCGTGAGTAACCATGCTTTTAGAAATATAATATATAGATGAATGTTGTATAGTTTTGATGAAGTGTTTGACGTGGTGCTATATCGATTGGTAGTGGTGTGCGTTTATCGATGTTATTCCTGATAAAGATAAAAATCTGATTGATATTTTCAGAGATATGTTTGTTCAAACTTTAAATTAAAGAAACATATAGGAAAGCGAACCAACAAACTGTAAATGTACATATTTAAAATACAAGGTGTAGTTTTGTAACCGTGTCATTTTTTGGGGGCATTTCACAAAAGTCATAAAGGTTCAATGTAAGAGAAAGTTTCGAGTCAATACTTAAAAATACGGCTATAATAAATCGTTTAAGTTCGACATTATTTTAGAATAAGCGACAGCAATGTTTCTTATTGAAGTTTTATGGAGTTAGGAATAATATCAATTACGTGTTTGAGTTTGTGTGTGCTGTGCCGCGTTATAAAGCTAAGTACAAGACGGCGGCATGTAGTTCGCACTTACGGATTTCTGTAATTTACAGAAAAAATTAAAATATCTACCTACAATTTTTTTTTATTGTGTCTGACTCAGAATTGACAGCAGAGTTACCTCCTAGAAAATGACGCGGCTTTAAAACGACACTTTGTATATGTTTTATGTGTTTTTGTCTTCCATTGTGGAAGCCTGGAAGGATTTGACATTAAGACATCAAATAACACGTTTTTGTGGTAAATATTTAGATTTTTTATACTACTACATTAAACTGACTGTTATCCTCGTTCGGTTGACGGAAAGAAAACAGTAACTTATATCGCTCTCCAACCTTCAGCCAAAAACTTCTACCATAAATTCGCACCATTGGGTTTCATATGGTAAGTAGCTACACGTTACTAAAAGATATATCACCACCAACATACCAACATTTGCAGTGTAACAACCAACAAAGTTTGATCAAAACATATGGCCAAATGTTTGTACAAAAGTTTGTAGTGTGTGCATTACTTTGTTTTAAAAGAGTGTGCTTTCTAGGTTATTTAGAAGTCATTGTTAGATCGTACTAAATTATTTTTGTAGGTATTTTTATAGAGAACGCTTTGAGTGACGAGTGATTTTTTGGTTCGGCATTATTTTTATTATTATTCTTATGTATAACAGTACTAAGTGTGAATTGATGAAGCTCCCATTTAATTCGCTAATAATTATATTAAATAAAAATCGCGGGCTACTCACGTGAATATACTGAGGAAAACTCTACTAGTTTCGAACCACAGCAGCCTGCGCTAGGCTAGTCATGAGGAAGAACCCCTTTGTAGTTCGAAACTAGTAGAGCTTTTCTCAGTATATTCACGCGGGTAACCCGCGATTTTTAGTTAATTTAGTGTGTCTCACGATAGTTATTATAATAATTATATTTTTATGAATTTCATTCCAAGTGTGTTAATTGAACTAAGATCTTGTCAATATGAAATATAAAAAAATATATAAATTGGTAATAGGGATGATGACGAGGTATAAAGAAATTTTATTTAGTCGAATAAAGTTTGAAAACTATCTATAAAAGTTGAGTTATCGACACTTGACGTAAAAATTAAACTCGTTATTAACTGCATCAATTCAAGAATGTGTAAAATAGTGTTCAATATTTGTACTAATCTGTCTGATGAGATCAAATTATGACAACTGCAGTCATCATCCCTTCTCAAAATAATAAGTAATAACATCAACAAAACTAAAATTACTTCAACAGGACTTTGGCCTCAAGAATGGTACGCCGGCGTAAAAGAGATAGCAGTCAAATCTCCTTTCCTTGTCTCTCAAACATCGTTACGTTCGGAAATGAGAGAGCTACAATACACGTCCGCCGTCCGCAACGATTCGGTCTCGATTAACGAACTTCAAGAGCTAAAAACTCAAATTTCGAATCTACTGGACCATTCGCCGGAAGTGACGGTTTTTGTGAATAAATTGACGTTTGCGCCGTGTATGTATTTGCTGAGCGTTTATTGGTTGGAGACTTTGAGGTGAGTTGCACATACTAAGTTTAAAAAGCTACCGTTATTTTTGCCCACGACATGCCGCTTTTGTCTATTCGTTGAACAGATAATTAAGCTGACTACAATTGGGCGTAAAATTTTTGACCGGCACAGGGATTGGACAATTGGATTTCTTGTGATTAACGCCATCTATTGAGCAAGAAACTGTAGCATTCGTATGACTTTTATATCCTGTTTCTTTTTTCGCTCTTTTGAGAGTATTACTGCTACATACTTACGTACATACAACATATAACATAAGGCCTTTTATCCCTGAAGGGATAGGCAGAGGTGCACATTACAGTACTTAATTCCACTGTACAGTATAATCATCCACTTTTCACTATTTATGTTATGAGCCCCATGTAATAGGTAGGGACTGCACGGTTGGCGCAGTGGTTGGGCAACTGACTGTCGCGCAACGTGTCGCGCGGGTTGGATTCCCGCATGGAACAACTCTTTGTGTGATCCACAGATTGTTGTTCCGGGTCTGGGTGTCATGTGTATGTTTGTTTGTAAACGCACCCACGTCACAGGAGAAAATCCTGGTCTGAGGCACAATTCCAGACTTCATGCTACTACTGAGATTTTTTTACCCAGTAATACTACATACCCAGTAGTAGTACTACTACATACTACATAGCAGGCAGTCGCACTTGCGACCACTCGTCCAGCGAGGAACATAAATACATGGACCTGTAAGTAATTTACAAATGTGTATTTCAGAGTATCAAACTCCCCCGAACCCAGTCTACTGCCTATCATAGAGTATCTGAGTGACACCGCGTTACAAAAAGACAAGACTGGTATGTGGCAGTGTGTTGCCAGGTACGTATCAATTTCATTCTTATTCTTTTGTTGTTAGATTTCAAATTGTGTTGTGTTCTAGGCCTTGAATTTCTTTTAATATTTTCACTTAACTCATCGCGTAAGAGAACAAGCCCATGTAGCTACAATAGGGTAGTTTCCTAAATTTTATTTTAATGTCCGTCTGGTACACAAAGCACCGCTAATTAGTTCGTAACGCTCACATCGACACTACTGTCATTTACACAATGTACATGTGTGGGTAATTTCATATTACTGTGTATAAAAATATTCGTCCACCACGTTCACATTGGTATTTTCATTCTTGTGTCGGTATACGTATTTTTATAATTTAATGCATGGGTAAGGTTAAAACTATTTACAATCATTGATATGACCCGACATTTTCACTGTAATTATCGTAGTGCTCGTGGTCGATTGGTTAATGAGTACGCTTTTATCGTCTTTCAAGGATCAATGATGATGTGGGTTCTATTCCAGCTAAAAGTTTTTTTTTATTTTACCTTGTTGTTTTTCTTATTTATTTTTTTTTTGTTTTTTGTCATATAATATAAATATCAGGCTATAAAAGAAGCAAATCAGTCGGTAAATAAAACAATACTATTTTTTATTAAAATTAATTTATTAATTATACAAATATGTGGTTTTATATTCAATATTTATATCTAATAATTAATTATATACCACATGTTAACTTTAAAGTTCTTCCAATCATTCTAAATTATTCTAAATAATAAATAACTAGAACTAAAATATAAATAAAGGATATTATAGGTATAAATAAATCTAAAGTATTTACTATTAAAATTAACATAAGATTTAGAAAAATAGGATAGGAAAAAAAGAAAAGATTTAATTGTTTCTAATTTCACATTTCAAATATTTGATTAATTAATACTAAAACAACATGTGAATGCTGGAATCGATCCGGTGGCACTTTACTTGACCACTGGAGGCGATAACCATTGCGCCAAGCGCGCCGTAGATGAGAACATCGAAATATTGTATATCATTCAGTAACATAAAAATACAATGAGAATGCACTATATTTATATAAGTATTGTATTGCTCGATCGTTCATTATTTTTGATTTCGATTTATTCAAAGTTTGTTATGAGTATTTTTATCTTTACCCTCGTTTTTATTTAAACTTATTTACTAAAATATTACGTATACCGACACAAAAATGATATGTAATACCAAGATGTGTGTGATAGAACGAATGTTTCTATACATATCTATTAATATGAAATTACCCACACATGTTCACTGTGTAAATGATAGTAATGTCGATGTGTAGCGCCTCGAACTAATTAGCGGTGCTTTGTGTACATTAATTTAAAACATTAGACACGTATTTTTTCTTTCCTCACAAAATTAAATACTTTCGTCGATATATTAATTTAAAATATCGTGGGACGTCACAGCGTGCCACATTTTTTAGCACGTTATGACGTAACGACCTCCCACTCCTAAACTTAGCGCCATTTTATCTAAGTATTGCAACTTAATACGAGAAATTAAAAAAATACGTGTCTAATATTTTTTCATTATCTAATTGACGGACTAATTAGATTTTTGATTTTGATAACCTGGAAGCTACCCAATTTCAGACTTACTTATCACAATTGAGAATCTCAATAAAAATCTCATTCATGCTGTACCTCAACACATTAGCCATCTGGCTTTACGGCTTATAAACTCAGACAACTGCTTATCTCGATTGAAAAGAAAGCGACTAGCGTCCATATAAACCCATTAAGAGGGAATACGAAATGGAGTTGGCATGTCACAGGATGTGCAACTCTCCAAAGTCGCAATAGCACGTCATCTCATCTGATTAAAGCCGAATCGGCTGATTGTAGATTAAAAGATTAAAGAATATGCTTTATCTCACCTAGCTTCACTGACAAACATAATGACGGATAATTCAATTTTGCCTTATTAAGGATTAGTTGAAATTAATGATTTGACTTTGACTTTAATGTAACGAAATACTTTTTGTTTGCCATCACCCCTTAATAATTCAAAAAATGGCTATTTTCCGCAATCATTCCATAACTAAAAAGTCAATTATGCCGTTTTTATCATCCACTTCTAAATTTTAAGGAATCCCTAACCTAATATAGGTATTAACGATGTTAGTGTTACCCAACCTATAAGTGACACCTTTACCGGGGCTCCGGCTCGACGTGCAGAAGAAGGAACGGGGTGGTTTTTAGTCAGCAATAGTCTGACACTCCCTCCCGCCTTACCCAGGCGGGAGCAGTCATTCGATGATTTTTTCCCCTTAAAATAAACCCTAGTACTGCCACAAGTATGTGGTTATTTTTAGGTCCTACGTCACGCTAAGTATCTTTTAGTTAAGAGACAGTTAAGTAGTCTATAACAATTTATTCCAGTGTCGGAGACAAGGTATTCCAGAAATTCATAGACGTAATGTCAGACAAGGTGAAAGATGAATGTCGAGAGAGGGAGCTAGAACAACACGCGCAGTTCCTATTGGTCAACTTCAACCACATACATAAACAAATCAGAAGGGTCGCTGACAAGTGGCTCGCGGGATTGGTTGATAGATTCCCGCATCTGTTGTGGAATTGTCGGGTAAGTGGTTATTCATATATTCAGATAGTGATTTATGCTTTAGTCTAGAAGAATCTTTTGGCACTTAATGCTGTCTCAACAGCGATAGCTGCGGAAATAGGTGAGTCTGGTAAAATGTCCATAGATTTTCAACCTTATTAGAAAAGGATAAGGTTGAGAATGCATTGTTCACCGAATTTTGTCATTATCCTGTTAGTCCTAGGATTATATACGCTATCTTTACACATCGTTACAATATTATTGATCTTATGTCAAATGCTAACGATAAACCTTTTTTCCAGGTCCTTTGGTCAATGTTAGACATCCTACAAGTACTAAGCTTCAGTTTAGAACTAGACGCTAATCAAGAAACGCCGCTACTCAAAGTACCTGGAACTGACTTTACATTGCAACTGCAAGATACGCTGGAGGGGAGAGAGGTATGTGAAATTCAACCTTATACAGAAAATGTTAAGGTTTACAATTAATTGATTGGCATAATAATATATTGGGAAAGAAGGTGTGAAATTGGCCATGAAATTGCTCAAAATTGATTAGTGATTTAACTCGTCGAGTACCGGTTTTGTAGACACAATTATAGAACAATAGGTTGCGGTCACCGGTGACCGCTTGGTGTTTGACAGTTTAAATATTAGTGACTTCATACTCGCATTTTATTGTTATTAGCTTCTGCCAGCGGCGTTGACCAGCATCATCGAGACAAAAATCATTCAGTAGTTCTAATTGTAGACTTCTATGTTTGTGCCAAAATGTCAGTTAAATCCTAGTTTTGGAATTATAGTCCATATTAGAGAAGATTTTGTTTTGTTTTGCAGTGCATTGTGAAAGATTTTGCCGATCGCTGCCAAGGTATAGTACAAGAGGCGATGAAATGGGCGCCGCAGTCGACGCGGTCTCATTTGCAAGAATATTTAAATCAGGTCAGTTAAATATTGTAACTAGGTATAATAGTAGCATACATTTGAGAAACCTCTCGTTTTTTGCATAATCCAAATTAACATAGGATGTTCCGATATTACCGTAAGGCTCTAAACAGATGAACCGCATTTCAATGTATACCTATTGTATATTTTTTTGAGTTGTAGTTGTATTTTTGTATTATATGTGTAGTACTTTATAAAGTTATTAATTATTGTACACTTGACGACCCATATCAGACTCCTATTACTGCTCCATCCAAAGGTTGTCTGTAAGAAATCGCCTTGTGCGATAAGACCGCCCATTGTACACTATTTTTGTTAATATTTATCCTGTAATGTGATTGTGTGGTGTATAATAAAGCATATATTATTTGTGTTATTATTATTATTATTCAACTGCGAATTCCGGTTCGGATACAGTTCAAACGCAGTTGATACGACAGCAGTAGAACTGCGATCGGACTGCTCGTTTGGTTTATAGCTCAATTGCAGTCGTGACAGAACTGCAATTTGCAGCAAGTGAAATCCGGGTCGTCTGTCTGGAGCCTAAAACGAGATACTACATACTACGTAAAGGTAAACTAATAGATAGATATTAGGGTGAAGTTTAAAAACAATATTCTTAAAAAAAAAATCGCGAACCTAAGGTGAAATCACATGAAATAACTTGTCATTCAAATTTCAAATCTCTTCCTCTAAAAACAGGTTCCAAACTCGACTCTCTGGCATCATTGTGGGTTGGCTCTTGCAACTGGAGCCCTACTAGGCGCTGCTGGACTGAACAGAATGTCAGCTCCACTGCCACGGTCAGCGCTGGACAAGAGGCCACCCTGTGTTACTCAGGACTCTGCTGCTTTACTGGCGGTCGTTTCTCAGCGTAGCCGATATGCAGGAGAGGTAAGTATTTTTTTTAAATGGTGTGCACTTATTGTCTTCTCTTCATGTGCTATTATGAACTAGAGCTAATGAACCTCTTATTTTTTCGTCCAATAGAGAATTAGCTAGCATCACACCATTGGTCATTACATTGCCAGCTACAGAGATTGGACAAACTAACCTCTTGTTAAATTAGCGCCACCTAGTGTTTGTCGACACGATGCCTCCATTGACGACACGATGTGAGCGACCGTGGACTAAGAACAGTGCCAGTGTCAGTATTTTTTATGTGAGAAAATGTATGGCGTGCAAAAAAGTTACGGGTCTGGTTCTGGTCGAGGGACGAGCACTTGCTCGCCGCTCGCGGGCCCGGTAATCGCCCAGAGCGGCGCCTAGGACGATACTTGAGAAGGCACCTTAACCCTGAACTCACCACGCCGCGATACTTTCGATATATGACCCACTACTTTTTACTAGATTTCGGGGGCAGTGAGCGCAGAAGGCGGCGGCGAGGCGGCACTGTGGCGGGTAGGGGCGCGTCTACACACTGCGTTGCGGGACGCGTGCGCCAGCGGCAGCGAGACGTCGCACCGCGCGGCACTGTGGCGCGCCACCGCCCTGCTGGTGCACGCGCGCCACCACTCGCCGCACGCCGCGCACTCACACACGGCGCCCACGGCGCGCGCGCTGCTGCACTCCGTCGGTACGTACTAGACTTAGGGCTCGTACACTAAACTGCGATCCGACGTCGCATCGCGAAAATGTGCGAGCTCCCTCTACGCATCGCAAGAACTTGCGGATTGATTCGCATCGTGCATCTTATCTTCCCAAAATCTTCTTTGTTTCTTTTTCCTGTATCTCCTAAGCAATAACAGAAGTGCACACTTCTTTTTACGATCCATGTCACGACCTAGTTTTTTTTTAATTAAAATATTTATAGTACGGTTGACGGTCTTCGAAGGAATGGTCACCCTGGGAGATGCCTTGTCGCACGAATTCGCATCGCAGCAATTCGCATCGCAGCAATTCGCATCGTAATTTTTTGTAAGAGCCCTATAGGGACTAGCAGATTTACCACCGCGCTACTAGTACCCAAATGCACACGATTATACATCGAGTTGTGATAAACCAATGCAAGCTGACCCTTGAATGTGTGCAAACTTCATACAAAACGAGACCATTATAAATTAGTTTTATATATACATCAACATCAACAGCCTATTTGTGGCCACTGCCTCTTCTCAATCAAACACGAAGGTTTGAGCAATAATCGCTACGCTTGCTCAATGCGGGTGAGCGATTTCAAACCTATCATTAGGAATTACATGCTTAGGTTTCCTCACGATGTTTTCCTTTACCTGTCAGTGGTGTCTAAATAATCTTGGAAAATACATATAACTCGGAAAAATCACATTGGTATTTGCCGTTGGTATACACCGTTTTATAAATCGTAATTACTCCAAACTTTTACAAGGAACACCAAAAGTTACTCTTTCTTCTCCCCAGCATGGTCTCAAGTAGACATCTTCACTGAAGACGCAGTCACCACGGCAGTAGAATGCTGGCAATGGTTAACTACCTCTCGACCAGATCTAGAGATCCGCCTCATGCAGGAGATCTTCGCGGCCTGGCAGAGCACTGTCGATAGAAGGATGGGACTGTTCTCTAAGCACTTGGAGGAGACCAGTCCTTTAGCTGCTCATGAAGGTTAGTATATCATGCTGTTATAGAAAAATTTGCGAAAATTCGGTCAGTTTTAGGTATGTGAGAGTTTTGAGATCTGTTTATGAGAGTTTTAAATCGATTTTTTTAAATGTTGCCCCACAATTAAATTTTCACTCGGATATGTCCCCACCCGGAACAACAATTTGTGGATCACACAAATAAGTTGCTCTGGCTAGTGCTGTCGAAAACACAGATTATATTACTGACGTTCATTTAGTTGGTTTTCGTCGTTTAACACGGTTCATTAATCTCCCGTCACCACTCGACACTGGCAGTATAGTCGACAACATCGTATTGGAGGCTTGGTTTCCAAAGAGGAAAAAAAAAAACACTACGTATATGTATATGTGTGTGAACTTGATTCTTGCAACAGAAATTAGAATTATTAGATCTGTTTATGAGAGTTTTAAATCGATTTATTAAACGTTGCCTCACACTAGGATTTTCTCTTGTGTCGTGGGTGCTTTTACAAACATACAAGTTCACATACACATGACACCCAGACCCGGAACAACAATTTGTGGATCACACAAAGAGTTGATCCGTGCGGGGATCGAAACCGCACACGTCGCGCGGCAGCCGGTTTGCTCAGCCATCACCCGTGCTGTCTTTATCAGCAATTACTGTGTCTAGCTTTGGATTTTTTTTATGTTAGACACACAATCGAATTGTGGTGTTATTTACCCTCCTTTTCATTGTGCAGTTGGGTAAAAATAAGAGTTGTATTACATCCCAGCCCAATTACCAGTCTCATTAGACCCCGTCTCCAGAATCCTTCAAAATCCTCAAATTCCCAATTCCCAAAAGGCCGGTAACGCACATGTAACGCCTTGGTGTTTCGAGTGTCCATGGGCGGCGCCGATTGCTTACCATCAGGTGATCCGTCTACTCGTTAACCGGCTTCTGCTATAAAAAAAAACATCCGTTAAAACTACAAGTATTGGGACTTTCAAATATCAATTTTATGTTTTTGAAAACCGATATTAACTTCAACAGGCGCTAAACTGGAACCTCGTCCTCCATTCGTGGCTCCGCACGCGGTGTGGGTCCGTTACCTATGCGAGGTCGCCGAGACTGCCAAGTACAACAGTTTGGAGAAGGTGGAGATGCTGGCGAGCTTGTTACACAGGTATGTTGGACATTAACCCATATATCCCCAAGCGATCACCGGTGACCAATCTCCACAAACTACATTATAGACCTTATTTCCAATGTTTAGAGACTACTTTTGTATGAACAAATTTAGGAGATGATTTTCAACAGTTTTCAATGTCTATCCTTAGTAAATAAATAAATAAATAACTCCGTCGTTAGCCGAGTGGTCGCAAATGCGACTGCCGGGCAAGGGGTCTCGGGTTCTATTCCCGGGTCGGGCAAAGTATTACTGGGTTTTAAAAAAAAATCTCAGTAGTAGCAAGGTGTCTGGAATTATACCCGGTATATGGCAATAGGCTCGCCTCCTATTACACTCATAACATAAATAGTGAAAAGTGGGTGCTAGATTGTGCGTGCGATAGCGATAGCGATAAGTGCCGTAATGTGCGTCTCTGCCTACCCCTTCAGGGATAAAAGGCTCAAGCCTTTTATAACATCAATGTTATGCTATGTTATGCTATGTTATTATATATATTATTAACATCAATGTTATGCTATGTTATGTCTATCTTTAATGGCTTTTTATTATGTGTTGAAGGTGTATCGATGTTTTTTCACCAAATCTTTCGTTTCGTATACCTAGATGTTATATTTTTATGATTCTTTGTTCTAGATCTCTGCCGATTACCGTAGGAGATGTGAGAGATAACATCAATAGGCATGTGGAAGCAGTTGGGGTTCGATTTAGGTAAGTGGCGTAAACTCTGATATGGACTTTAAAAAAAAAGGCAACAAAGGTTTGACTTCAATCCTAAATTTGATATAGATTTAATTGCGTGAGCAATAATTTTGTGCATAACGTAACAATTTAGATCTCATTATTTGAAAGTTTCAGGTCAAGACAACACCTTAATATTAATAGATAATAGAATTATTTTTTTGAGGAAGCCCTTTCAAACAATCAAACTTAGGATGTACCATATTTATATGTAATGTATTTTGTTCCCCCACAGACTCCTCTCCTGCGGTCTATCCCTCCTCCAAGGCGACATCCTCCCCCGCTCCATAGCTCGCAACATACTCCGCGAGCGAGTGTACGCGGCCTGCCTCGACTACTTCTGCCGGGGTCTCATGTGCCCGGCCAAAAGTTCCAGTGCGTTGAGAGAGGACATCATCTCTCTTATCAAGTTCTGGCAGCTGATGCATTCTGATAAGAAGTATTTGAAGAGCAGTGACATTGGAGGTGAGGTTTTATTGTAATAAAATAATTCGTTAAAGGCTTGCAAGCCTTTATTTAACTTACAGTTTTAACGTACACGCGGCCCACACATCAATCTATACAAAACCAGTTTATCCTGGTGTCGCGTCGCATCATCTTTCCGCACATTTAACGTTCAGTTTATACTGGTTATGTAAAGCTCGATGTGTAGTCGTGTGTACAAAACTTTTAAGTAAAACTCAGTACTTCAATACTGAAAAGTTTGTTCTAAACGGATGCTTATGAAAAAACACCGTAATGCTCGGCAAACTTCCCACTCCCACCCGAATAGGGCATTACAACTCTGCGTGGGAAACGTTACTTATCTGTTATATTTGACAGATGATAGTGTCAACATGACAGCTAGTGCTGTCTATAACACAGTGCCTTTCGCCAAACGCCGCTTTAGCGCTTGTCTACAGAGAGAGAGGAGAAAACTAAATGAGTGATACGTCAATTCCATATAATTTAGTTTTCTATTCTACATGTAGACAAGCTCTAAATAGTATTTCGATACAGCTGCTGATTATACCTACTAGTGACGTTCATTTAGTTGGTTTTCGTCAAAACGGTTCATTAATCTCCCGTCACCACTCGATAATGGCAGTATAGTCGACAACATTGTATTGGAGGCTCGGTTGCCAAAGAGGAAAAAAAACAGTTCATATGTATGTGTGTAAAGTTGATTCTTGCAACAAACACTGAAATACTCAAACGCCACTCAACTGTAAGTCACGTTTAAGTATAGTTCTGTCTGTCACTACACATTCCTTATAAAATGACAGAGGTGGCACGATCGTTTTTAAAGTTGCCCCACACTAGGATTTTCTCCTGTGTCGTGGGTGCGTTTACAAACATACAAGTTCACATACACAATGACACCCAGACCCGAAACAACACTTTGTGGATCACACAAAGTGTTGTCCCGTGCGGGAATCGAACCCGCGACACGTTGCACGGCAGCCGGTTGCCCAGCCACCGCACCAACCGTGCAATCAAAGTCAGTTGATATAGCAGATGCCTTTAATCGAATAAACTGAAATTTTGTATACACCTAAACCAAAAAAGATACCTACGTATCTCGTATATGTATTTAAGAGAAGTTCACAGTCCAGAGGAGTTTGCCGTCATCGCTACGGGGTTGAAGATCGCATATTAATAGGTTCAAGTTTATTAGAGAGCGCTCTCGTATCTCTGTTTATGATGTCTTTATATGACAACATTAAAACATTGTGACATGTTAGTTCTTTTATATTATGAACGCGGGTGAGCCATAGTTGTAGTAGTAGCGTATAGACACGCGCGCGTGTGTGCGTAACTCGCAGTAGATTCATTGGCTGCCGGCCGACACTAGGCGTTCCCGAGCGGACACAAACAAAGACAATATGCGTGTACATTTACCCACACAAGTGGCGCACTCGCGCTCGTGAAATAAAACATCTATAATAGTACGAGAGATGACGACCAAAACCATGTCTCATAGCAATACGGCAAAAACCCTATAAAATCGTTAGATTGTATGATTCTAAACCCGACTAGGTGTGTAGTAACGGTCGAAAGTGTAGCAACTGCGTGAGAGGCCATTTCTGCTGTGTCAAAAATATCTGAGTATCGAAAAGTTGTCTGATAGAGAAGGTGCTACACTTATTTTGTCTGATATACATTTTTTGCACATATGGACAACTTATTTTATCATGTCCAACAATTTTCAGACATATTGCCATGATACCGATCGGTAAAATTTGTTAACATTTTCAAAACGGTCTCAATATTTAATGCGTTCATATTTCCGTCTGAAAATTGTTTTGTTCGCATCAAATAACCAAAATTTACTAATAAAAAAGGTTTTCAGACGCATTGCTATGAGACATTTTTTTGTCTGGTGTTTTTGTGGTCAGATCAAATGCTACGCGGAAAATGTCTGATATTGGTATTTTCGAGTTCAGGATAATCGTATCTATCGATTTGAGGCGGTTTTGACCGTATTGCTATGAGACAAAAATTTTGGTCGTCATCTCTCTAACTATAACTGTTTCCACTTAATATGGTGATGTATAAATAACGTGAAAATTGCAGGAGAATTCGAGCTCATGGGTCCGAGCAGTCAACAAAGCATTTACACGTCAAACTCCCCGATTGACAACCGATCATCTGTCAACAGTGACATAGGGAGCCGGCAGACTACGGGTTGGATTAATACGGTAATATTTTTTATCTATATATATGAAAGAAAGTCGTGTCAGTTACATTATTTATAACTCAAGAACGGTTAAATCGATTTGGATAAAAATTGGCCGTGGTACCTCCCCACCATACTTAAAACCAAGAGATGGACATTGGATACTTATATCCAATACTTTTTTTACTTTTCACGCGAAAATCACGAACGAGAAAAAACGCATAAGTTATAAATGCAAGAGTGTATTTTTGTAAAGCCTTACTCTTGTATCATACCAGCACTGTGTTATTCTCGGATTATTGTTTACCATAAGTTCGACGTCAAATTCAGGCTATTTGGACTGATTTCGATGCGGTTCATTTTGTTAAAAGCGAGTTTTCCACCACTTTTCTAAACACAGGTACCCATGTCTACGACAACGTTAAGCAGTGGTGCGGGCAGTATAGCAGGCAAGCGATCCAACCGCAGTGTCAAACCTCCTGCGAAACCACAGGATACTTTTGTGAAGGATTACGTCAGGAAGAGGAATCTTATATTGGAACTTATGGTAAGTATATTAAAGTCTATAACAGATTGTACAGGCAAATAAAAGATTTGATTATACTTCGAAATAGATATTTTGGATTAATTGTTACGTATTCCAAATATAAACTTTAAGTGTACAGACACAAAGTTTGTTTCATAACTGACTGTCTGAATTTTACAAACTAACAATTCGATAAAATTGCACAGATTATCGTCATACAAGTGCACTATAGTTGATTGAAACCGTCCAAGATATACTTGCGATGTCCAGACTGAGAAAAAAATAGCATGAGTTCCTAATCATGACAGTTGACATTCCAAGCGATTGATAGAGTGCCACCTTCGATATTGTTCCCTTCAGGCTGCGTTACCAATTTCAAATAAACGATACAAGGGAAACTGTCAAACTATACCCAGTAGAAGAAGTTCTTCAACTGGGTATAGAATAGTAGAAGAGAGAGTAGACACTGGACTGACGCCCGAATACTGAAAGGCTACGTTAATTTAATTTGTATTGAAATACCGTGCCGTATCTGTCATTGTACAAAGATTTAGTAGTGACAGAACTATACTTACGTTGATATATCGTACCGAACATATTTTCATACAAAAGTAGTCTCTAAACATCGGAAATAAGGTCTATAATAGAGTTAGTGGAGAGTGGTCACCGGTAACCGCTTGGGGACTGAACAGTTAAGCGCGACTTAAACTTGTGTAGCCTTTCAGTATTTTTTTTTTATTTTATTTTTTTTTTAAGGGGGGAAAATCTTCGAATGACTCCTCCCGCCTGGGTGAGGCGGGAGGGAGTGTCAGACTCTTACTGACTAAAAACTAAATAAAAAAAATCCTTTCAGTATTCGAACGTAGATTAATTCGAATACACCTTATAATGACCTTCTGATCATACCAGGCAGTGGAGATAGAGTTCCTAGTAACCTGGCACAACCCCCACGGTCGTCCAGAACAAGCCGTGCCGGGCGAGGACAACATTACAACATGGCGGTCGAAACCCAATACAGACCGCACGTGGCGGGATTACGCCAAACTCGCATGGGACATCAGTCCTACACTCGCTGTGTTCCTGCCTGAGAGGTAATTAATTTGAACCCATTATATCATAGGCATTTTTTTTGTTGACATTGGGAAACCTTACGGCGCTAAGCTGTTTGGGGAATAAGACCAGGGTGGGATTATCCCCGGTGGCGGAGACACCCGGTCCTCCTACCCCCCCCCC